TTTAGGGATAGTAAGACAGAGGCAAGACACAGATAAACCTGAAGCAACCATTTTTATTAACTAATTTGACTATTTGTAAAGAACTTGCTCACCTGATTTTATGATAGTTAGGGAAAAATATTTTTTGATGGAGGCCAGAGAAAAAAGCCAAGAACAGACCAAGTTTACATAATTCAAATGAACAGTTCTAAATAACAATACCTATCAATTCCAGGGCTCTGATGGGAAACGAATCGTTCATATATATTGGGACACTAGCAGCCTTCTGAAATAAAAAAATAATGTGGGCATGCTTGCTTATGGAGACCTCCTAATTTGTGTAAGAATCCCACAGAAGACATAACAAATTTGAAATCTGCCACAAACATGAAACAACTGGAATACTATCGAAAGCCTTTCGGGAAGGTCACAATCAAGCAAACTAAAATAGGCATAAAAATTCCCTGGAAAAGCATTGAAAAAGTTTGTTTCTAAGGCCTGTTATATGTGCACATGGTGCAATTATTTTTTTAAATAGCCTCTTACCTTTTCTGTGAAAGGTTACTATTTCATCTTTAGATCACTTGTTCTGTTAAGATATTTTGACAAGAATGAACAATTGTTTCAGAAGTATTTGGCCAATTGTATATGTGATTATCCTATGCATGAGTATGTTGTGTGTATTTTTCAGCATTCACACATATGGTATATTTTATGTCTTGAAATATGGCTTTACATAAATTCTACATTGCATTTTTCTAGCATCCCAAGAAACTATAATAAACAATAAAAAATCTTCTCTTTCAATCAATACAATCCCTTAAGAGACTATGCTTCAGGACATTCACATAAAATATTAGCTATATATATTTGCAGGAGAAAAACTGAAGTAGCATGGCATTCAGTCAATTTTCAATTACTTTCGGCATCTCTATATGATAGGATGCACATTAACAATCAACAGTATAACGATATAGAGGCTAGAAGCATCCAAAGATGCAAATGAATTGTCTTAATTATAATATACAAATGACTCTTTTGTCCTTATGCAACAGAGTGTAAAATACATGAAAATGCACTTTATGATGTGAATTTTGGACTAATTTTTATAAGAGTTTTTGTGAAAATATCTAACCATATTATTAAAGTCACATAAGGTTGGACACCAACCCAATTTTATTTGAGTACACTGAAAGAAAAAGTGTTTTAAGACAGCTTATTCCATTGGTTTCATGATCAGTCTTAATTTGGCTCTGAATCATTGTACATTTATTAAACATAATGGAATATACAGTAATCTCTGTTATAAATTATATATTTCAGTTATCAATTTATAAGTTACATGTAGTATGTTCTGTTTTCCTGTCATTGAGAATAACTTTTCCCAGCGCATCCCAGAGGTGGGTTATCCCTTTTCTTTTCTGCAGTCCCCATACCCACTCCTAAATTTATTAGAGAAAACAGAAGCAAGAGACAGCTTTATGTGAATGTACCTGTAATCTTCAACGCCATTAAGCACACATCCTATATCCATTAATTCAGAGGCAATAGCATGAAAACTTGAATTTAAGTTCTTTTTCTAATAATAATTTGTATTAAAAATCAAAATTGCAACAATGAAATTAAAATTACAAAATGATAAAACAATATAAAGAAAAAAATTGGAGAAGAAAAAATAAGACTAAAGAAAATAAAAAGAAATATATAAATTTCTCCCTTCATCACAAGCATAAACAATTTTAACAACTGTTGAGGTAATTCCCCGTTAGGAGAATGAGCGCATACAGGGAGACGTAGTGAGAGTAGCGAAGAATAACACACACAGCACACAGATACACTGTATGGTAAAATGTAGGTTTTTACTTCCAATAAACGTTTAAGCAAAGTCCAAACAAGCAGTCCAAGTCATTCACAGTTAAAGCAGTCAGTTTTCAGTCCAGGGATAATCCAAATAACAAAGTCCAGTATCATAAACAGTTCAGTAACAGACTTACATTAAATCCAAGACTAACGATGATCAGTCAATAGTCAATGCAGGAACAGCAACACTCTCCAGAAAAGGACAACAGAACAGAACTAAACAACCCAGGTTTCTGGCTCCATCTTATGGCTGTTTCAGGAACCACACTCAATTACAGTTTTAGCATTCTCTTAAAGAGACAGTATTAAAATGTCTATCCTGGTTTATATATTTTCCAACCCAACTAACTGTTAGGTGACTTACATTCCTAACAACAACTCATCATCTTCTGTTCAGAGACAACAAATGATCATTTTTGCTATATCCCATCTCTTAATTTATAAACAAATCTTTAAAACCTCATCGTTTCAGTTCTAATGTCAACAAAGATTCATTAAAGACTACCAGAGATAACAATGTGTATATTTTAACCTTGATCAAGTAAACCAACTTCATATTCTTTCCTTTTACTTTTATAAATCTGGATCCTTAGTTTAAAATTTCCTAGAATATGGTTTCTTTTCTTGACAGGTAAAACGTGTTCCTCTTACATAACATACATAGTCTATTTATACAGGTTCAAAAATATATTGTTCAAAAATATTCTTCAATAAGCTCAGAATTAAAATAGTTTGCTTTACTCTGTATTTATAGACAATTTCAAGTATTCATTAATTATAATCTTCAGTTTTTTTCTACTTTCCTCTAATGTCTACTTTTTAAAGTCCTAATTCTTTTAAAAATAATACAAAACAACAATATTTTTTGCACGGGAAGAAATTTTATACTTAATTCCAAAAATTTATTTCAAATCCATCTAGACCATTAATCATTTGTAATTTTGCAAAATCAAAGTTCTAATCAGCCTTATGTTGCTTATAGTAAAAAAGGGTTTTTTAAGTCCTGAAACTTGTATTTAAAACTTCTTTCATTAAGGGTTGAAGGAAACTTACCGTATTTTTAGACTTGTCAATTCAAAGCTTCCTAATAGCTGAAAAGCAGTTAAGAAGCAATTTCTGAAAAAGATTAGAAAAGGAACTATGCAAACTCATTGGCCATTCTGCAACTTCCTTGTGGGGAGCAACTATATTATGGCTAATCTCAAGTCTTCTTGTCTGGAGAAAAATTATGAAAAAAATGTACTCACTAGCTCTTCAGTTGTCAGATCCTCTTTTAGTTTGTTATTTCTTCCCTGGAATTCTTAAATTTGATTCTTGACAGAATACTGTATAAATGTTTCTTACTCTACTCCCACAGTAATCAGCTAACTTCTATTTATAATAACTTCTATTCTTGCATGTAACAAAGTTTTTGACCTGGCTGAGTAATATGTGTAAACCTTCTGCTAAAATATGCTAAAATTTGAATAAATAAGTGAACTGGATTGAAAAAATGATTTTTTGCTGAGTCCTTGCTAAGAAAGTCTGAGAAACGTATTGTCAGAAACTAAAAAAAGAAGCAATTGTGTCCTCTACTGCTTATATCAACAGAAAACCTTTAAGGATGTTGATGTTGTACAGATGATGAAATCCTTGGAGGCTACAGCTGTGGCCCTAGTAGCACCTGTGTGCTGCTTTAAGTAATGTCTTTTCTAATAGTACAATTGTGTACCATAAGATTTCTTGAATTCATGTTGAGTTTGATACGATTTCAGGTACTATCATGCCTAAGATGTTTATTACTAATTTATAGTATTTTTATATTGCAGAAATGCTCAGAGGAAGCTAATTATTTAAACCAGCTTCAGTCTGGATTCAGACCTAGAGTTTGAAAAAAAACCGCAACCCTTATTTAATGTCTATGAGGAGCTACTAAGAAAGGAAATTATTGCCTTAATACATATTAATAGTCAGTTGAGTGTTCTTTCTTAGTCAGCATGCAGTGGATGTTTCAAGCATGTCTCCAGACAGGAAAGGAGTGGATATGGAAAAACAAATTAAAACTGAATTTAAAAACAATGGAATTGTTGCCAATTCCAGGATTCAGCTAATATGCTATGCTGAGTTTCCCTATACATTTCCCTTTATGCAACATGTTCATAATGGAGGTTCCCTTAGTTCCTGCACTTGGACTTAGTGAATATGTGTTGGTAATTTTAAGCTACCCCAGTCAGATATGTGAGATAGGAAACTATATAAAACAAAAAATCAAACAAACAAATAATTAAGTTTCATTTTCAAAATATATTCTTTGCCAGGTGTTTTTTAAATAAATCTGGAAGTTATAATCGGCTTAAAATGTATCAGCATGGGTGACTAATTGCAACTTTTGGGGATTCCATAGGAGTGCTGTGTTTAAATAGCTATATTAACAACTAATTTCTTTTCTTCTCTGTAAGCAGAGATTGAGCCTGGGCCAGGAAAATAACTGTAAAAAACATCTCAGAGAAACGTTCTCCAGTTCACATGGAATTAAAAGGTGAGAGAGGATGAAACATACTCAGACTTCAGCACACTTCTGCTAATATGCCTATGACAATAAAAGTTGTCCTGGTTTCTATGGGACTATTTTTTAATCTGATTTATCATATAAAGATTTACGTTCATTTTAGGTGCTCACTCTGGTATATAAAGTCTTGTGTGGCTTAGGCATCTATAGGACCACCTTCCCATGTACAGACATTTTTAGATTTTGGGGTGAGAATCAGGAGACTCCAACTATGCAGCTTTTGTGAAATAATAGACTCTACTATGAACAGCAAATTCTGATTTTTCTGATATATAACATGCTAAATTGTCACTGGAGTAAAATCAGCCTCTCTTCTTTATTGGACTTTAGGAAAGAGCTTAAATACTCTCTTTCTACCCAATTGTTTTAGCTGAAAGTTTAGATTTTTTTTTGATAAACTGCCTAAAGCCATTAATGTGGACTGCATTTCAATCGATCAGTCTTCAATCATTAATTCTTATCTTAATCATAATGCTGAGTTCCAATGGCATGCATGGCAACAAAAACTGTATGTATAAAAATGTACATACAGAAGAATAAATCAAGTATAAATGTTATATTATTTTAAACACAGCATTTGCAATAGTCATATGGTAAAATAATTTGTACTTACAATGTCAAACTTTTGTATAATATTCCCCTGGACATCTAACAAATAAACTTTGCCATAATGTGTTCCAAGTGCCAAAAACTAAATAGAAAAAAAAATGAAAGACATTATCCAGAGAAATTATAATAGGGAGAATACAACATACCATTTGTTTATCCTAAAGATTACTGTGATAATGTACATCAAGCATGAATCATACAGCAACATTCCTGAAACCTATCCAAAGACTATAACAGTAAAATACAAATGATATCTAAAACAAACACTTGACAGTGGAATTATAAAAATGTAAAACTGTCATTTACTGCATCCTTGACCTCTTAAAAACTAGACAAAAATGAAATATTGCGATTTCAGCAATAGAAAAACCAGTTCTTCTTCTGACCCTTGCCATATTTGATCTTTAACCTTCAGAGCAACCTTCAGAGCAATATTCAAATAACCAGATGGACTGATAGTACAGCATCATAATAGTTGTGACAACACTAGACTGTATCCCCTACACTTCATTTTTGTAAAGAAGTAGAAGAGGTTGTAGAAACAGAATAATAATATCAATAAGCATAACACAATAAAAATCAGTTGAAATTTCTCTCTGCTTGCAGATAAAATCTGATTAGATTTTGGCTTTTTTACCAAACAATGTTTGCATGTGTCAGAAAACTACATACAATATTTATTGTATGGGTGGTGTTGGGCCAGTCAATCTTTCTTCGTCCAATCCTCCTCGTGGGGTTCTTGTAAGGAAAATAGGAGGAGGAAGGAGTAATATGTTTGTTTGCCTCAAGTTACTTATAAAGTAATAAAGACCATAATGTTTTTTTAAAAATATGTTTATTTTTCTTTTCATGATTTTATTTATACAGTAAAGTCAAGTTAAATACAGTTCCCAACAAGCATCTACATTATTTCTATAAGCCTAGAAAACTATTTAAGCCCTAGTTTTTTTGAAAATGTCAGATCTCTCGTTTAACGAACCAGTCACTGGTCAACAGAAGACAGTTTTGCATTGCAAATTACAAAGTCTGCTCTGGTTTTACAGACACAACTTTTAGATGCAGATAGTTAGGAGCCAGCCTAGGGGAAAAACCAATCTAACTAAAAAGTTCACAAAAAATATGTGATACATGAATGCACAGAATACTCAAAATAATGCAGAAGAGACTTAGGTGTTATTCCATCACATAGATTAAAAAAAGATTTAAAATATATCAAAAAGTTTGTTACTGCTTGGTATAAAAAGAGTGCCTTTCCTTCCTTTGGCTTTAGTAAAGTGGTCAGACTGCTAAATTCTCTGTATTTCATTGCATGTGAACACGCTTCATTGCAGCCTATAATGAAATGCTCAAATTTACAGGCACTACTAAGCATGTCAGTCAAGCAGCACAATCTTTTTTTTTAATAACCTTACAGAAAGTCAAGGTTTAAAAGGATTTATCAAAATGGAATTGCTTAAAATGAAATTTCAGTTCAGGCACTTAAAATATGAAGCCACATAAAGAGAAGTCAAAAAAGGGGAAGAAGAGAGGCAAGGAGAGAATGGGTTCATTAGAAATTCATCTCCAGGTTGCCTTTTTACAGAAAGAAAAAAGTCCCCCGGGAAAAAAATCAATACTAGTTAATAAAACATCAGGTGTGCAGACATAACTAAGAATGACTATTCCACTGCACACGCCTGCTTGAATGCACTGGGTGCCAGGACGATTAGTCATCTAATGCAGACAGCAGGTCCAGTGAAAATATGTTTTATCACTGAAAGAAAAAAAATACTTCTGGAGGGAAAATAATCTAAATATAAACCAAATTTTACAGTCTGAACAAAATAAACTGTTCTAATCAGAAAACACATCTACTGTAGATGCTACAGTGTTATTTCTTTTTAGTTACTCATAGAGCAAGATGTAGGAAAGATACACATTCTATCTTCAATGTTTAGCCTCAGCATTGTGTGAGACCAATTCTTAAAAGACACTTTGTATCAGCTTCTAACATTGTTGATCAGTCTCATAAATAGTCCAGTTTAGAAGGAAACTAAACTGCTCAGTTACTAGAAAAACTTTGTTATTATTTTGTTCCTTGGGACACTATAATTAGGAGACTTCCAAATATAGAACACATTTGCTTCTTTAAAAAAGTAAACACCATACTTCCAGTTTAACAATGCAAGCTGTCAAACTATCAAAGCCCAAAAAATCTTTCCACAAATGATGATAATTAGCAAATACAATAAGTCTCTCCCATCATAATCAGCAGGTGCATACTATATTTATATAAAGGGAGGTAGAAAAGAACATTTCCTTTGTTGAAATACAGTGCAAAAATGCATAATTAATGAGCATACATATATATTATTGAATATGTTGAAAGGTGTTAAAATGCCTTTCTTTCGAGGGTTCGATTTTCCCGCTGGGAGAGCTCCGGCGCAAGGATACGGACAACTGCTTGAAAGCTGGATCTTTTTATTTTTTCAGGAAGGCGGAGATCAGCGAGAAGTCTGCATTCCTGGACTAGCTAGCTTCTTATGGCAAGTCCCTGGTTTTTTATACCCTTCTCTCCCTTTGTAAGTTGATTTTGTGTGAGTGTTTGTATTTGTGCCTAATGTTTCAAATCCTGTTTGAGTTTGTCTTTATTTCCGCCGGAGGGCGAACTCCGCGGGGTGCGGAAGGCAAAGATTGTATTATTGGTTTTCTGTAATCTCTTTTAGCTTTAAGATAGTTTTTCATATTTGTTTTGTGGCAATCTCCTGTCTGTCCCTTTTGTAATTTATATTTTGTGTCTTTTGTCTGTTTGTTTTGCTTATTTGGTATGCCCTGTGTTTGTAAGGGTTTTCTAAATTATCTTTTGTTTCCTTTTCCTATTTATCTAGTTTTCTTAATTACTTAGGCTTTTGTCTATAGGGATTCTTTAATACTTTTTATTTGATTCCTTTTCCTATGTAAGTTTGTTTTCTGGCTGACCTGATGTTCCCCTTGGGCTTTTCCTGTTTTTTTTGGTGACACTACTGCCTTCGTGAAATTCCCTTTCCACAAATAATAATATATATTGTATTTCTAGATTGCAATCTCCTTCAAGAAGGGACTCTGGGTGGTGTACAATATAATATAAACACATAAAACAGTACATAAAATTAGAATTAAAATATTAAAATTACTTTAGGATTAAAACAATTAAAATCACAAGATTATAAAAATATAGCAAATTTCAAAATGCAAAATAAATTCTAAGAAGGCAATTAACCTTGTTAAAAATTGGTTAATGAAGGCAGAGGGAGAGCTTTCATGGTATATAACTTGTATATGATTTTATTTAAGGGTTTTGTTTGTCTTTTTTACAAAAATTGTTATACTATTTCTCTCACAACATTGATTTTACAGCTTAAATTAAAAAAAAAATCTGCATCACCAAAAGTCGCATACAAGGAGACAGATGAATAGGCCCATAGAGTGGCACAAAGCTTGAACAGTCTAAATTTTTAGGGCTTCTGGGATATTTCTTTGGAATGCCTGTAACTATACATTGACAGTGTGAATATTTGAAAAAATGGAAAATATAGAAATATGTAGCACTTTGATAGATTAGAAATATTTAGCACACTGGCTCAATCATTATTTGATTTAGAAACTTTCACATAAATTGTTTGAGAGATCTAAAGTAAAAATTACTTCCAGGGTAACTTTTCATTCTGTGAAGAGTTGAAACAGAAAAAATCCTCACTATTGTCATCTATTAATTATATTTTGATTATATACTATTAATTATATTTTGATTATATACATGAATAATTATAAATTTTTAATGAATAAGAGAAAACTTAAAATAATTTGTTCAGATTAATGCAAATAACTCACTGCATTTTGGGTCTGATGCAAATCTAAACTGTCTGATAAAAATATCACCAAAATTATTGGCTAGTAAATTGATATGGGAAATTATTCAGTAAAATTTAAATTCCAACCCTATACTTTATTCTATTTCCTCAACACAGTGGCAATGAATAATACCAAAAGATTATTTAGATATGAAAGGAAAAAACCTACTTTCCCAGAACATTTTTTTTCTGAGCAAAGAATAACACTCTTATGCTCATCTTGCCATTTCCTGTTAGAACCCTAGAAAACAAACTTGCAGGTTTCGTTCTTCATTTGGAACTACTGGTATTAATTACATGCTCCCAAATTCTTATTGCTAGGCTCAACATAACAAATAGCAGTATAAGGAAGATATAACACAGTCATGCATATTTTTCAAAATTAATAACTTACTTTCTCATGGATTGTCATGCAACTGGCTATATCCTTTTGAATAATTTCTCCAACTCCATTAGAAAGCCTTTCATACTTCAGTTTGGGCTCTTCTTCACTGACATCTTCCTGTATTAAGAAACAGCTTAAGAATTTATTTATTACTTTATTTTATTAATAAAATATACCCATTCTCCTTATCAGAAATATATATTTACATATTGCATATGTATTTGTGTGTGTGTGTGTGTGTGTGTGCTGTCTCTCTAATTTTCTGGCTGAATATAGAGACAGGTAGTTAAACACTACAAAGGCTTCCATACAAAGTTTCTGTATTGGATTATATTAGGCATCCTCAAGGTATAACTCAGAGTTATGTTGAGATTCATCTAATATCCAATCTTTGCATAGTTGTCTTCATAGTGTGAAAAGATAGTTATCTTCATCCCAAAAGCAAGGGGAAGACTCCAGCACGATGTTGGGTCCAGGCAAGAATGACTGAAACTTCCCAGCACAATATATATATATGTGCTAATCATGTACTGAATATGTGTTTGTGGATGCATGTATGTGTGTGTGTGTATACACAAAAAACCCACATACAAATATACATATGTACATGTATAAAATTTATTATAAAATATATAAAAACAGACATTTTAAAAATTAAAAAATCAGCACTAAAATGAAGATTTTAGCATAGAGAGACAAAATGTATAGTGGAGCCATCTAAAAAAAATCTCGAATTCCTTGTGATCCTCAATCCTGATGGCACAACTAGATCCTGAAGGAATTGATTACTCATAATTTTTATGTACTAGTCACAGAATACAAGAGAGCAACCACCATGAAAGATCTCTGTTATTTGATCTTATGTGGCAATACTAGTAGTTTTTTTTCTCTTCTGTTCACCTTTCTTAATAGCAATGTATGATACAAAAAGCCAGCTATCTCTGCTTCACTACACCATTCATAAATACCAGAATAAATTACATCAATTACCACTATACTATAAATGCTACTTAGTTATTTCTTGAAAGAAAAAATGTGGAAGAATGGGTATTCTAAAAGGAGACACTTGATGTTAAGCTGTGAGAATGCTGTTTTTTAAAAAACCGAGAACTTTTCAAATTTGCTGTAGAACTGTATGACAGACAGATTCATTTATGAATGAAGATGAATATGCGTGTCCCAAGATAATGTTGCAGGATCCTATCTGGGTCAGTAACCAGGACTAAAAGTTTTGTCTCCCTCAGCCAGGAAAAAGATTGAAGCCTGGAAAACAGGCCCCTCCTCACTCAACAGGAGTGCTGATTTATCATCCGCCTATAATGTTCTTAGAAGGGGAGGGCTGGGCAGCACAAGCAAATAATCTTAAAAACCAGCCATCAACACAGCCCAATTAACATCTAAAAAGCCACTTACAACAAGCGCTATAAATACCACACACAGAATAGCACACACTCTACTGCAATAGAGAGAAGTTCAACTACTCTCCGATTGTACTTGATTTAAAGTGATGCCTTTTATGGTACATCTTAAAACTGACAATTTCTGTGCTTTTATTAAAACAGTAATCAAATGAATTATGAAGTATGTTGTCTTCTGGTTTGCAGTGTTGTTTAGTTCAACTTTTACCCTGCCTCCCAACAAGTCAGATAAGAAACAGTTTTTTTAAAAAAAAAATGCTGTATATTCAATGTATATTTTATGAATACCAGCAGCTTTTCATATTGGTATTATACTGCTATAAATTTTCTTAGCAGAGAAAAAGAAGTATCTTATTCAAAACTGGAAAAACTATAGTTAAATTACAAAAGCAAACTTTTATGAAAGCATACATTGAAAGAAATTGAGAGCCAGTCTGTGCAAAATTAGAATTAGAAGAAAAAGATCAAGCTTCAAATTGTCATTTAGACATTATTCTTGCTGGGTAACTTTTGGAAAGCTATAATCTCTACAATCTCTCTGCCTCATAAAGCTACTTTGACATGCACATGGGGCAGGGGTCCTTATGCTATCCTAGGTTCCTAAAAGAAAGGTAGGTTGAGAACGTAATAACTACAATAGGCAAATCTCTCAGAATCTGTATTTAAGAATGCAAAAGAATGTGACATGCTTTCAAGTAATTAAAGTGATCACAATGTTTTCCAGGCTCACGTAGCTGGAAGTATGTTAGCAATATACAATAAAATTAATCTAAACAATTATTGTGTGCTTGCATAGTGCTACTGTGAATCATTTTATAAGGAACGTTGGAAGTTAATATGGGCTCCTTCTTTTGGATTATATGAGGTATTTTTAATTGTTATTTTACATCAAATATTACACTATTTCTTTATTGATATACACTCATATAGGACAAGAGACAGTTACAGTACAATACAATACTAAAATGTTTCAATAGATTAATATCCTCACAAACCTGAGATACTAAAGCTGTGGTTTAAAAAGTCTTCATTTTTTTGCACCATGAGATTTTTGAGTTAAGAGGTAATTTATGGTATTTTTTTAAATAAATGAAATTAATACAGAAATATCAACAGTTGTCTAAAACAATGTGTCAAAGTGTCCAGCAAGAAGCAATTTTAGTCAGTAAATTTAACACTGAACAAAGTTGTTACCAGTCAGACAGACTCAATGTCAAATTAGAGCGCAAAGCATAAATCAGACAAATTATCTGTGCTCCTTCATTCTTGACAAATAGAAAACAATTACATTCACAAACTTAACACAGCCTACAGCTTGTGGGTTGGGTGGCCATTAATGCATAACTGCATTTTTGAACATCTTTATTGTGAATTACTCTTGCAATGCACATATTATCTGTGGACTTTGGAGGGAAATATATAAGTTAGAATTGAATTCTAAGCATCACATGTTTATAATAAGATTCAAAGGGAAGTTGGACAGCAAATGCGCAACCAAAGTGAAAAGTTAATTGCTCTTCCAAATATTTGCATAAAAGCATTGATCAACGGGCCATTAGATACAGTTACTAGAAGTTTTGCCTGTTTGAGTGAAAATTAAGTAATGTTGCTTCTACACACATATAGCGTTCAAACAACATATATTTTTAAGAGAAACTTTTCAATATTAGACATGCTGATGTACCCCACTCTGTGATTTTTTTTGACAGCAGAGGTGGTATTCAGCAGGTTCTGACCAGTTCTGGGGAACTGGTAGCAGAAATTTTGAGTAGTTCGGAGAACTGGCAAATACCACCTCTGACTGGCCATGTCCCCATCTATTCTCTGCCTCCTGAGTCCCAGCTGATTCTCTGGGACTTCTCCTGCACAGAAGAATGGAGATGGAAAGCAGGTTAGTGGGGTGGGGAGGGAATAGGGATTTTGCAGTAACCTTCCCCCAGGAGTGGGGTGGGAATGGAGATTTTGCAGTATCCTTCCCCTGTCACGACCACTAAGCCACACCCACCAAGCCACACCACGCCTATCAAGCCATGCCCACAAAACTGGTAGTAAAAATTTTGAAACCCACCACTGTTTGATAGATATATCTTATGTTAAATGAAGATCAAGCTAAAAGTAAATTTGAGGCTTTTTCTCACTATAAGCAAACAAAATGAAAAAAAAACTATGTTTAAAATATAAGATTATTCTGTTATCACAAAATATATCTCACCTCCTGAATAAAAGGAGATAAAGTATAAACAGCATTTGTTGAATCTGACTTTAGTTTTTTTTATTTCTTAGAAACTTTTATGTAGCATGAACTTCGAAAAGGCAGTATAAATAAAAGTAAATCAATATTTTTGTTAAATTTTCATATACAAATAAAACCATCAGCAGCCTGAGTTAAGATGACAGCAACATTTCTATGACAACCTAGTTGAATAATACAAGTCTTGACTTGCATCAAAGTTTAAGATTTAAACAGAATGACATTTACTCCATACAGGAAAATTCACAGTGTGCGCACACACAATCATATATGCCCACACAAAAACACATACATATTCACAAACACACACTCATATATATAAATATAAACATACACTGAGATACATGCTTTCTCTGTTAATTTTTTTTACTAAATATGGAGCAGTTTTAATTGACTACAAATGCACTATACATTTCTATTTTCAAACTTTCTTCAAAAAAAAATAAACATTTTATTATGTTATATACTCAGTTATGAATTCACTAACAAAATAATTTTGTCCATAAATTATGGACCCAGTCTTTTATTGTTCAAAGAGTATATAGTGTTATATCAAGCAAAACTAAAGCATTTTGTAAGATTATTTGTTGTTTTTTACTTTGTATTTCAACATACATATGATTATTTATTTATTTTTATTTATTTATTTATTTTTGTCAATTGCTTACAAGATAATAGGTATAAATAAAAACATAGTTATGAATACATGGATACATATAAGAAAAATAAAAAATAAAAGAAACAACAGGACAGGGACGGTAGGCATGTTGGTGCGTTTATGCACGCCCCCTACAGATCTCTTAGGAAAGAGATGAGGTCAATAATAGACAGTCTAAGGTTAAAGTTTTTGGGGTTTGGGGAAGAAACCACAGAGTCTGGAAGAATATTCCAGACATTGACCACTCTGTTGTTGAAGTTGTATTTCCTGCAATCAGCCTTGAATTTGTATCTATTGTTTGCTCTTGTGTTGTTATGGTTGAAGCTGAAATATTCATTGACAGGTAGAACATTGCAATGTATGATTTTATATACTATACTTAGATCGGACCGAAGGTGGCGTAGTTCTAGGTTTTCTAGGTCTAGAATTTCAAGTCTGGTACAATAAGGTATTCTGCAATGAGTAGAGGAGTGGAGAACTCTTCTTGAAAAAATATTTCTGGACTTTCTCAACTGTGTTAATATCAGATACATAATGTGGGCTCCAGACTGATGAGCTGTATTCAAGTATTGGTCTAGCAAATGTTTTGTATGCTATAGTTATTAATCGATATGCATTATATCATTGTAGTTGTCTGTGGTTCAACTAGGAAATACTGGGCATGATCCATTGCTGTTTACAAATACTGAGCCAAAGAATGTGTTAAAGAGGTTGGCTTTAATAGTGTCGTCATTGCAGTCTTTACCATTAGGTCCTTTCAGGGGTGGGATGGACCTTGAGTCTTTTAATT